AATGAAGGAAACTATAGAACAACTTCGGACAGAACTCATTAGTTCACAAAATGAATTGGATAATACATTAATGGAAAATAGTGACCTACGCAAACAAATTACTAAGTTAAATAAAGAAAATAGTATGCTAAAAACATTATGCCAGTCCCCGTTACATGATAGTCGAATAAATCGCAGCTCTAAAAAAGGAAAGTAGATATACCATGCAAAGTTCACTTACACCTACCCGATTATCTACTTCGGATAAAATTAAAATTAAACTTGACTACAGTAATACTATCACGACTTTACATCAGAGAATTGCAGAATTACAGCAGCAATTAAAAGAATCCCAGACAGAAATAATGAAACTCATGAAACAAACCCAGGCCTGGGAAGAAGAGCTTCCCTCAACAAAATCTAAGGCCTTAACAACACCTAATTTTAATGATAAAATGTATTCCAAGGATACCGAAAAGCAAGCTTGTGATAACAGGATATTGATCTTTGGAACTCAACAATGTGTTGGTTTAGCCGCTGCATTGATACGGTCACGAGAGCGTACAACATACGAAAAATATTTGGTTACCTCGCAATTTAAACCGTATGCTCTAACTGCAGATGTTTTAAAAAATTGTCATAACTTAGAATTAACATCAAATGAAAAAATTGTAATATGTATCGGTGAAAATGATTATGATATTAATATATTAACATCTCAATTGCGTAGTTTGCTCAATAAATTTAGTAACAATTCTGTGATAGTTATTAACCCATTAAAAAATATGTATTTGAATGTTCATGAATTAAATAATGCGTTGAAAATTACTTGCAATGCTTATAAAAACTGTCATTTTGTAGAATGTATTAATAGCAATTTATTTAAAATGTGTAAATCAATCAATTATATCATCGACTGTATTGATTACGATAATAAATATTTAAATATTAAGGAACTTCAAAAGATAATAATTCGCAATAAACTACAGCCTCAGGAAGCAACTAAATTTAATATAAAACACCTGAAAGGCACAATCCCCCTATTACTTCGCAAAAATGCAGTTACAAAGTGCTTCCATCAGTGGAACTAATGCCATAAAATCCACTTTCGATTCGAAAAAAAGGTACCATACCCTATTACTTCCCCATAATAGATGGAAATCAGTTTTTTCGGGAACAAAAAGCAAAAGCCATCTATTTCTCTCAAAATCATGCACCAAAACATTGCTAGTATTTTATCAAAACAAGAACTATTAGAATTAACATTTCATGAGTTACGTGAGGCCGAGAACGAACCCGATATACTATGTTTCTCTGAAACTTTTTTGCGAGAAGGTTACGATAAATACTTACAAATAAAAGGTTACGAATTAGCAACTGCATTTTGTAGAGAGAAACAAAGAGGCGGAACTTGTATTTTGGTACAGCGCAATATAACATACAAAAAAATTAATAAATTACAATATTATGCAACGCCAAATACATCTGAAGCTTGTGGAATTGAAATTTCTGTACACAGAATGATTATAATATGTATTTATAGAACTCCCTCGTCAAACCCTACTATTTTCTTAGATAAGCTGAACAAACTTTTATATGACTTACTTAGCAGTCATAAGCCAAATATTAAGCTAGTTGTTACTGGTGACTTTAATATTAATACCTTAAAACAGGGAAATATTACTAATTTTTTTCAAGATCTATGTCACAACTACAATCTAAGCATTCACATCAAGGTACCGACCCGGAAAAACTCTTGTATAGACCATATTTTAAGCAACATCACAGACGCAACGGCTACCATTCTACCTCTATACCTGTCTGACCATGAAACAGCGCAACTACTGGAAATCCCCATAAAAATAAAAACATTAAATACCACGGCATATTTTATTTACAAAAAAGACTATTGCGCTGAAAACATACGGAAATTTAGGGAATGTCTTATGAATATATCTTGGTCTGATATATACTTACAGACTGATATAAATAACGCGTTTAATACGTTTCATGAATTTCTATGTTTAATTTATAATTTATGTTTTCCACTTATTAGAATAATGATAAATAATAATAATACTACAAACAATTGGATAAGTCGAGGTTTAAAAAGAAGTTGTAAAACTAAAAGATTACTCCGATATAAATACTACAAGAATAAATCAGAATTAAATAAGAAAAGTTACATCACATATTCAAAGATTTTGAAAAAATGTATTCAAAGATCGAAAAGAATTTCTACTATAAAATTCATACACAAAAGCAAAAATAAATGTAAAGCTACATGGTCTGTGATAAAAAATGCAATCTCAAATTCAAACTTCGACCATGGCGTTACGGATTTAAAAATAAATAATGAACTGATTAAAAATCCTACTGACATAGCTTCGATTTTCAATAATTATTTTACTGATTTCCTTTAATAATTTGACAATAATGAATAAAACAAACAGCTATACTAGTATTGAAAAATCACTACCTAACTCAATGTTTGTTAAGCCCATGACAGAAGAAGAGGTTAAAAAAGAAATCCTATCTCTTAATAACACTAACTCGGAAGGATATGACGGTATTAATACGAAAATAATTAAGAAGTCTGTAAATGAATTAGTCTCTATTTTAACATATTTAATTAACTTGTCATTTTCATGTGGTACTTTTCCGGAAACATTACAATCGTCGATTGTAAAGCCATTATTTAAAAAGGGTAAGAGAAATGATATTACCAATTATCGTCCAATCACATTAATACCAATATTGTCAAAAATACTAGAAAAATGTATGTACAAAAGATTACTAGATTTTTGCAAGAAATTCAATTTAATAAAGAATGACCAATATGGCTTTCAGAAACAAAAATCTACAACATTAGCCATATTTAAGCTCATTAGTTCAATCTTAACAAAAATAAATAACAATTTTTTAACCACAGCATTATTTCTTGATTTATCGAAAGCCTTCGATCTCGTTGCGCACAGCATACTATTACGAAAACTGGAAATGGTAGGTGTCAGAGGGCTTCCACTAAAATGGATATCTTCCTATTTAGCTAACCGTAGACAATGTGTCGTAATAAAAAAGATTGTAGGAGAGGAAATGCTGTCCTTCTCATCTTCTTATAAAGAGAACAAACATGGCATTCCTCAAGGTAGCGTGCTGGGTCCAATGTTGTTTCTTCTTTATTTAAATGATATAACTCTAATCACCAGTCATAAATGTATTTTATTCGCGGACGATATTTCAATAATTGTAAGCACTAATAAGAAGCAAAATAATTCAATACGTAATCATGAAATCGGCATTAACAACACAATTGATACAATTATTAAATGGCTAGACAAAAACAATTTAAAAATTAATCTTAATAAATCAACTTATATTCAATTTAATAAATCAAAACACACAAAATACAATTTTAATCTTAATATCGACAAATTAAACGAAGTAACACAAACTAAATTCCTAGGAGTAATAATCGATCAAGATTTAAGCTGGAGAGGTCACATACATCAACTATGCAGTAGAATTAACCAATTTGTTTATGCACTTAATAAAGTAAAAAATGTTACAGACAAAAAAACTGCTGTTCTAACGTATCACGCTTACATAGAATCTTTACTACGTTATGGTGTTGTAATATGGGGCAATGGTACAGATAAACAGAGATTATTTACTGCGCAAAAAGAAATGCATTAGAGCTATTGCTGGAATCGCACCGGATAAATCCTGCAAACCAATATTTAGGATCCTAGGTTTGTTGCCACTACCATCTCTGTATATCTACGAAGTTTGTAATTTCGTACATAAACATAATAATCTGTTTACAAAGGCATGTGATATGAATATAAGACTAAAAAGAAATGCAAAAAGAAGTGTATTAGATGATGTACCCCGATCAAACAAATATAGTAAAAGCTGTTTAACCATGTGTATTCGAATCTATAATAAAATACCAAATGAAATCAAGTCGAATAATAATAATAATATATTTAAAAAAAATTATTGACTTATCTCAATGAAAATCGATTTTATGACATCAGAGAACTATTTGTTAAATGTAAATGATATATATTTTTTAATGAATTGTTTTGTATTATGATTAGAAAATTTCATTTGTATATGTGCTATTTATGTAAATTTGCATGCTACCACAATCACATAGCAAACATGTTGTGCTTTAAGAATTGTACCATCCTTATCTGTCCATGTTTTATGCAAATAAATAAATAAATAAATAAATATAAATTATGAAGAAAGTGGGGACAAAAATTTTGTGAGAATGAGTTTGCAAGATTTTGAAATAATTCTTGAAAAGGTTGAAACTGAAATAAAAAAAATGAATACTAATTTTCGAGAAGCTATCACAGTTAGAGAAAGGCTATCCGTGACGTTAAGGTTTTTGGCCACCGGGGACTCATATAGAAGTTTACAATATCTGTTTCGCATATCTAAACAGTCCATATCTACTATTATTATTGAAGTATGTGATGCAATTATCAAGGCTCTCAAGGATCATGTGAAGGTGAGTTAATGAATAAAAACGTTTATGTTTATCTGCTCATTTAATATGTTAATTAAAATTTTAGAAAATTATAATTTAAGTACTTAAAGAAGTTTTATTAAATTATAATTAAGAATTTCTGAATTATTCTTCTTGTTCTTGAACGTAACGTAATATTTCAGAAATTTTATTTTGATTATTCTCCGCTTCCCTTGGAGGTTCCGGTGTTGATGTAGGTGCAGTTTGTGCTGGAATTGGCGTGTCGCTGTAATAACTTTGGCGTGAGGTAGAGTTGGATATATCCGTTGAATAGGCACCGGTATAATACCCACACTGACCTGGTAATTGGCCCATATCTTTGTATTTTTTTATATACAAAGATATGGGCCAATTACCATATTGTATGTTTCGTATTTTTTTAATTCATACGCAATGTGGGTCCCAAAAGAAGAGAAACAGTCTTCTTCCTTGGATAAATATTGTACACTGTGCTTGAGTAATCCCACTGCTTCTGTTAATGTCATGTCATCGTTATTACGGCGCCTGATGTGTTGTGCTGTTGTTGTGTGGATGAGGCAGAATTCCTTGGTGTTTGTTGTATGGACGATGAAGAATTACTGGGCGCTTGTTGTGTGGATGATGATGCATTACTGGGTGCTTGTTGTGTGGATGAAGTCAAATCACTAGGTACTTGTTGTGTGGATGAGGCAGAATTCCTTGGTGTTTGTTGTATGGACGATGAAGAATTACTGGGTGCTTGTTGTGTGGATGATGATGCATTACTGGGTGCTTGTTGTGTAGATGAAGTCAAATCACTAGGTACTTGTTGTGTGGTTGAGGCAGAATCACTGGCTAATTGTTCATCATTTGATATAGATTCATTCACATTCTGTGTGTTGTTGCTGGTAGTTATCTAAAAAATAAAATAAGAAAAACGTTAACTTAGATGAAATAATTTGTTACAGCTACCCGAGACTGAAAATCAATGGATGGCCGTTGCAAAAGAATTTGAAGAAAAGTGGAACTTCCCTCATGCAATAGGCGCAATGGACGGCAAACATGTTTGCCTTCAAGCACCATTAAATAGTGGAACGGAATTTTACAATTATAAACAATATTCTAGCATTGTATTGTTAGCATTAGTTGACGCTGACTACAATTTTATGTACGTAAATGTTGGATGTCAAGGACGCATATCAGAGGAAGGTGCTTTTAAAAACACTTCCTTGTACAGGAACCTTGAAAACAAAAGCCTAAATTTACCGAATCCTGAAATACTACAATTTCCTTACAATGTGAAGGTACCGTATATAATTCTGTGTGATAAAGCATTTGCCCTCAGTGAATATACCATGAAACCCTTTTCGGGTAATCCAGAAAGAGGATCTATTGAAAGAATATTCAATTATCGTCTATCAAGAGCAAGGAGGGTAGTTAAGAATGCATTTGAAATACTGAGTTCGGTGTTTCGAGTACTACGAAAACCAATGCTTTTGGAAACGGAAAAAGCTACAAAAATTGTATTGGCAACTGTTTATTTACACAATTTTTTACGAAAAAGCAGACTATCAAATATTTACGCACAGACCAATGCATTTGATTCTGAACAGCGAGGAGAGCTTGTTCCAGGTGCATGGCGACAAGACCAACAGCAATTAACTTCTTTTTTCCTTTAGACAGTGTACCTAGGAGATCGCCCAATACTCCTACTCATATACGTTTACTTCTGGCGGAACACTTTGTTAATAATGTCCCCCTTGAGTGGCAAAATAATCACTAAGTTTTAATGTAACATATATATTAAATAGAACGTGTACTACCTACACGGATTAACGTAGACTACAATATGTATAATAAAATTGAAAAAGCCTCATAAAGCAGCTGGTCCATTTTCTCAGACACCAGTATAAATATAATAACGTTAATAACTAATCGTAATTACTTACAGTAGTCTCCGTTGTTGGCAGAGGTTTGTCCTTATCATTAAGAAAGGTAAAATATTCAGATGCAAACCACTTCGATATATATACATCATTAGCTCCTGTAAAAAAAAGATATAAAAGTATATAGGCTATTATAAATATGTCAATTTACAATGCGACAATACAATGCGTAAATAAACAATTTAAAAACTTACCTGATCCTGTTACTAAACTTTTTTTGATTTTGCTCCTTTCTTTTCTATTAGTTGCTAATAAAGTTGTCATCTTTTTTTTTAATTCACCTATTGGAATTTTCACTTCATTTGAAATTGCCTTCCATGCATCTTGGCGTAAATCGTTATTTCGATAATCAGTTAGTGTGCTATCCCACAAGACTCGGTGAAATTCATAAAGTTGAATCAATCTGATAATATTTTCATTATTGAAACTCGAAGAACACGCGTGTTTATTCATTTTGCCGTCCAAATATAGCGTAGCCGGCCGCGTGCGTCCTCTTTGACGCGCGACCAAAAACCGACTGACGATGGCTCGCGCTGCGAGTTGGCTCGCGCGGTACGCGTACCCTAAGAGTGAACGCGTAGCTGCAGGTATGGACTAGGCGTTCCGAATACGCGTAAACTGAGTAAGACCCAGTCGTGGTCCTAACGCGAGCTACCCTAATTACCCCGTCGGAACCGGAAAAAACTTCTTCGACAATCCCTAATGGCCAATGGAAAGGCGGCGTATTCTCCTTGGTGAGCACAACCACAGTTCCGAGAGTTAAAGGTTCAGTTCTTGTGTTCCATTTTTGCCTAGACTGCAAAGTATGCAAGTATTCCATCCTCCATCGTTTCCAAAACGACTGCACCAACCGGTCCAATAATTTATGGCGTGCGGAAATGCTAAGTTTGTTTTCGTCCATGTCTATGGCGGGCAGATACTTCAAAGGCGTTAAATTCAAAAAATGTGCTGGAGTTAGAGCCAGCGGCTCCGAGGGGTCACTTGACAGCGTACGACAAAGGGGGCGACTATTCATGACGCACTCAATTTGAGCGAGCACAGTACTTAACTCTTCGAAGGACAAAATTTGATCTCCTATTACTCGGTATAAATGACTCGCGGCTGGGACGTTCAGAGACCACTCGATGCGGTTCTCGGCTAGGATGTGAGCGAACTCCGAATTATAATACTTGCTGGCTAAAAGCTCATGTAGTTATGATAAAATACGTTTCGCGCCGACGTAGTTCGTACCGTTATCCGAATACAATTTACTTACATGGCCACGGCGGGAAAGAAATCTTTTAAATGCATCCATAAAGCCCGCTGTGCTTAGATCACCAACGAGTTCTATATGCACAGCCCGAGTAGTCAGACATATGAAAATGCAGACGTAAGCTTTTGTGGATCTTATACCACGCCCGCGAGTGAGCTTGACCTTAAACGGACCAGCAAAATCAGACCCGGTGTGCATAAAGGGCTTTACGGATTGTGTTACTCGACAAGAACTAAGGTCCGACATTTCCGGAAATGACGGCTTAGGACGTACTCGAAAGCAAGCTATACATCTGTACACCCGATTGCGGATTAAATTACGTGCTGAAAGAATCCAATAATTCTGACGCAAGATTGACATCAGCAAATCGGAGCCAGCGTGAGAATTCAATTTATGATGGTAATCAACTAATAAATTCATGATATGGTCTTTACGCGGTAAAACTATAGGGTGCCGTTGGTCGAAACTCAACTGCGAGTTAGACAAGCGTCCACCTACCCTGACGATTCCATCTTGTAAAAATGGCTTAAGACGTTGAAAAGCGCGACTACAAGTTCTATTCGATTGTAATCTTGTAATTTCATCGGAAAAATGCGCACGTTGAAGTTCACGTAATACTAGCAACTCGGCACAACTACAATCGGACGTAACGATATACGAACAAACACTACTTATCGACTTTTAAACTACATAGGCTACACTGTAACGACAAAAATGATTTAAATGTAACACAGCGTATTGCTGTGGCGTGGCTAAACTATACTATTTTATTTTTAATTTTATGGAACACTAACAAGCTAAACAAACACTAAGAAAGTACCAATATATAATTCTATCAACGACAAACTAATATTTCATTAATAAAACTATCCAATCACAAGTATGGAATTTCTAAGCGACTAAACTATAATTATTAATAAGCGGTAAAACTATGCGATGAACGCTTCGCAACAACACTGCTTATGGCTTGTTGCTCGCGAAGCCTCACTTTCTCCCGCCAAGCAAGATTGGCCTCAGCAGGTCTATTCCGTAGCCTCCAGTGAGGCACGCTTTCTGTCGCAGCGGCTCGGCGTCTCAATGCGCCGCGACCGTGACCTCGATCTGCGCCGCGCGCGCTTCCGCTAACGAGATCGATTCGAGTCCCGGGTTGCGAAACACGTGCACTGAATATGTCACCTGACGGGTTGCGGGGCGATCTAATCTTGCTAATTTGGGCCTTGTTCGCGGTGTCGGTAAACCTAGCTCCAGGGCTATCCCTACTCGGCGTTCCCTTCGGCTGCGACGAAACTACAACAGGTTTACTAACAACAGATTCTAACGTCTTGCTTCTCGACCCTTCGCATAATTTATTACCCGAGCTAAGTAAAAGCGGGATGCTCCCCTCCTCTATTTCCCGAAAATTGCGAGTCAATAATTCGGGAGGTTCGACAGCGACGGTGCAACAACAGGATGTTGCCGAAATATTATCCATGATAGGGGCGGAACCAACGATGACGTAGCCTAAGACGGTCTCCAGTGCGTAAGGCGCGGTATGCGAGGAGTTGCCCCTGACCTTATTGTGTAACAAAAGATGAGGGAAAAGCGATGCTCCAATGAGCATGTCTATGTCTCCGGGGACGGCGTAAGTATCGTCTGCCAGAGTCAAATTTTCAAAATCAATCATTGCCGAGGTGTCGACCGAAACGTTCGGCAGACGCTCGGTGACTTTATCTTCTACTAACGCATTTATATTAAAGTTAATGTTACGATCTAGCCGAGAATAAATTTTCAAATTTATAGGGCCCTGGGTAATTTTATTAGTACCTCCGATGCCTTTGACTACGGGACATGAAGGTGTCTTATTTATTGGCAGTCCTAAACGCTGACAACATTGCCGCGTTATAAGGCTACTCTTGGATCCGCTGTCTAGCAATGTATGGACACTTTGTTCGTTTCCATACGAATCCCTAACTACGATACGGGCTGTACCCAGTAACACGGTGGAAGGAGACTGTGTTACGACGTGGTGGACGAGGACGTGAATACGTTACCATCTTCGAAATGTAATAACGTATGATGTCTGCTGGCGCACTTGTTACACACGGAACTAGAATTGCATTTAGCAACTAAATGTCTATCGCTTAGACAATTCATACATAAGTTGTTTGTCTTTACTATTCTATAACGTTCGCTGGGTGAATGTTTACGAAAGGTCGCACAATTGTATAAATTACCGTGTTGTTTATTTTTACATAGAACACAGGCGCTATGAAGCGATGCAGGCTCAGCGGTTACGTACGTTAGAGACCCTGCGGTTCTAGATGATGAAGCCTGTCTGCGGTCGACACATTTCTTAACTTCTTGTTTGACATTCGAGGACCGCTGTTTCACTTTAATTTGATCTCGCACAAAGGATGCTAATAAATCGAATGATGGCAACTCAGAACTACGATGCTCCAATTCAGATGCACGCACGGTGTCCGAGTCTAATTTCTTTAAGGCGATATGGAGAATTACCACGTTCATAAGGTCATTAAATTTCAGGTTCTTAAGTGCAGCCACCGATGCTACAAATTTATCCAAAAACTGCTCTAAGCCGGTGATGTTCGCGGATGATATAGCTTTAAGATCGAATATCTGGTCTAAATATGATGAGGCTAACATTCGCTTATCTTCATATTTGTTCTTAAGTGTTTCAAATATTAACGAATAATTGTTTGCTGTTGGTGTGAAGCCCGAACAAATGGACTGTGCCCTACCGCTTAATTTACTAATTAAGTAATACAATCTTTCAGCGTTCGATAACGATGGATTGTTATGTATATTATGTTCAAAACCATTTACGAACAACGGCCAAGTTTTAGTATCTCCATTAAATACCGGAATATCTATGGGGGCAATCAAGTGATTCACGTGGGCGTACCTGGGTCTCTGGTTTTGCTTTGCTTTGGGCTGGAGACTGTAAGAGCTTTGCCGTTCTTTTTACGCGACACAATATATCTTCAAATGATAGAAGTGGTTGATAATTCACTGTATACTTAGGGTCGATTTGCAATTCTAAATTATTAATTTGGTCTAATATCTTTTTGTAATCCGTCCGCAAAGAGACCACCGTTTTACTAACAAACAAATACTCAAGCAGGCATTGAGTTATAGGAAAAAGAAACGCACTTTTCTTAATGCGATATTTATCTAACAAGTCCTCATTTTGACACATTTCCAAATACAAACCATGCATCTTGGTAACATTGAGCAGCGGTATAAGATAGAGTTTGTACACATTTTTATTAGCAATGAGACTCTTTCACTGGAAAGCTCGAAATATGTGCCTTAATGCATTGAACAACATCATTGTCCATTTTGTGGACGACTTTGATATCGTCCTCTCAGATCTGGTTTATGAACTGAAAGTCCATCTTTAGTATTCTTTATAATGAGATCAATTTTTTTGCGACCCATCTGGTATATTCTACACAAATCTAACTTGCATATTTCTTGTGTGATTTTTTTACGTAATGCTTTTAACAAGCAGATTTATGCTTTCTATTTCTAGCGTTACTGCGTTGTCTTGCTATAGGCTTCCTTACAATGCTGCTGAACAATAAGGCATTTTTACTATTAGAATCAAATGAATAATAGCTATTTAAAATAGATTGCCTACCTTCAAGTGAGAACTTATTAAAGCATTTAAGTCTGCACTTCTTGTGGCATAAAATCCTTTCCTAGTTGGTTTTCTTTGGAACTGTCACTCCTTTATAAGAAATATTGGTTGGGCGGCGGGCCTTAAGGTTGCCGAGTCACAATTCCCCGGTCGAGCCTTGACCCTACTACGCGAGATGTTATACTAGATGGACTGTATACGCGGTAAGTTTCTTCTGCTTCAACAAAATGTCGGATGTAGCATGCGGTTCCTTGACAATGCACTCGCTCTTCCGAAAAACCTATTTTTGCCAAGGTTATGAAGGAATCCTGCTTGAGCACATTAGGAGGAATGAAATGGGGCGAGTTAAATAACAAACAAATACTCAAGCAGGCGTTATAAGAAAAGGAGACACACTTACCGGGGTGTGACTTCGATGCGGCTTGGACGCTTCTGTTGCTGTGGTGCGACTTCTGGCGGATCTCCTGGGGCCCCAGGGATGCAGTCCTGTCCGGTGGTGCGATGGAAGAGAGCGGTACGCGACGATATCTCACACTATGTGAGGCGGTTACTTCTGGAGCT